TTCTGGGAGTTGAAGTCCACCCATCTTAAAGTTGCCAAGGTTGAGAAACACTGATCTAAATCAAAACTGTTCCTCATTTCAATATCCTGAACCACTTCATTTGGATTTTAATGTTTACAACTTTTTGCTTTAAAACACTGGATGTAAGGTTTGTGTAACAAACTCTATGTATAATTTCCTTTTAAAAATGGGGGGCACCAAGATGAAGCAGAAAGTATCCGAACAATAAGAGGTACCGTGTTTTTATCCAAAACATGCACAAAAGGAACAGAAAATGCCAAGGAATGGATATAACAGCTTAATGGGTTTTCACAGCACATGTCTGAATCCAGTGTTGGCTTAGGAAAACAACAGTCCTTCTCCTAAGGGGTGTGAGGGAACTTCAACTGCCATCTCATTCTGGTGCATAGACACTGGCACACTATTTATTCATCGGTTTCTGGATTCAGCCATGATCTTTTCCAAGTGCAGTACGTGACTTACATATTTGACGTATTCTTTCCACTGTTGCCACCACTGCATTGCAATGAGAAACCAGTTGTGCCCTTGCTGAAGGCCATGCCTACTTTCTCGTTCTAACCAGCCTCTATGGCAAGAAAACACAAAATGAGGTCAGTCGTGCAATACTTAACAAGGCTTGTGCTTAACATCTACACAGTGAAGACTTCTCAACCTGGCACCTTCCAGAGTGCCTTCTCAAACTTATCTGGAGTGGGGCTAGCTCAGGAGATGTAAAGCCTTCAGGTGTTCATAGCAACTTGCACGCCACTGTCAGAATGATGCTTTCAAATAATGAATTCTGGAACAGTGGCCAGGTTAGCACCTTAAGCATGAACGCCTTCCTTATAAATGTATGTCTTTAGCTGGACTAAATTCCATTATATCAAAACTGTAAAAATACTATCAGGAATCAGAGGACTATATCAATATAGTTTGGGGAGAGAGGAGGGAATGTAAACAGAAGAAAACGAAATAGGTACAAACAATGGTAATTATGTCGTTAACAGTGGCCATTCACAAAGCAGTCACTGGGTGATTACAAAGGAATCTGGCCCTGATGAGCTAATTAACACCTGTAGCGAGGTAAAAATCTTGCTCCCGATTCAGGAACTAGCAATCCAACTGAATCTTTTGACAACTGTGCTCTTTTTAATTACAATAGGTTTGTGGCTGGAGTGGGGACAGAGGTTTTGATCATATTATATGTACCCATTAGCTCAGTAGCCCCAGGATGCCATTGTTATATCTTTAACAACTCATTTTTGAATGTCTACCTTAACAATAGAATTAGTTCTAGCTGCCTTTTGCATATTTCATTTCAATCTGACCGCAATGTTTCCAATCCTCCCCCCTCATCATTGTGT